CTTCAAGTTAAACCTCTTTTTCAGAGTCTTCACGATAAATATTCGATGCATTGTGTTGTGCTCACTTTCATCATTTAATCCAACCTTGATATTAAGTCTCTTATATGTTTCAGTCTCCATATTAACTTTCTCATATAATACATCCTTACCATTAAGTCACTTGCTTGTTCCATTGGCATCACCAACATCAACATTTCCACTTCCACAAGACCTAAATTGACAAACATGATCTTTAACTCCATACACATAATATTCATTATCTTTATACTTTTCCCCTTCAATAGGCCTAATTTCGTCTTCATCACTAACCTCTACAATTGGGCTTTCATCTTTATTCTCTTCATTGATCTCATTGCCTTTTATTTTATTGGCTCGTTGTCCATGTTCACATAGTTGAGCCCTACAACTTTAACTCTTAGGAGAATCAAACCTCTTAATAACTTCTAGTTGTTACAATGAATGTACATAGACACGTTTTCTCATGCATTTTAGCAATGTTTTTCATCTTCTTTACATAAGTAGTATTTCATAAAAATTAGCCCAATCGTATCTATTTCATTATAAAATCACATTAAATCTACTATTGGGTACCCAAACTCTATAACCAACTAGCCTCAATCCCATTGTAATCTAGAAGATGAAATTGATTGAAAATTCCCTATAATGTAATACACATTTAAATATATGCTCCATCACTTACAAGTTTAAACTAAAAATAAAATTATAATACAATGTAATGAGCAACCAATTTAACAGAGTGGAAAGAAAATCTAAAATCTAAACCAAAAAACCTATTATGACCAAAGAAGGAGAAAAAGGATTATGAAATCTACAAATTGGATGAATGATGGTCGCATGTCTTTCGTGTTCAACGATTCTTTATCATTGTCTCCCCTATGAGTTCTCCATGTTTGATTTATGTATGAAAAACCCTAAAAATCAATCCCTTGCAATGCTCATTAAGTAAGAGGTAACCATTATGTATAGTTAATTCACTATAAGTTATGTATGAAAAACCCTAAAAATCAATCCATTGCAATTCAAAATTCATGGAGAATCACATAATTATACAACCAAATGCTCTAATACCACGTGTAAGATATATTTTATTCATACTAAAATTAATTAATAAACTATCATCATTATATGGATCTTAGAATATATGACTCTCACAAACATAAATAGATTAAAATGTGTATCTTGTTTCATGATGATGATTTAAGACGATCGTAATCCATCGATACCCAATTTATCCCTTTCCTATTCATGCTTTCTCAAAACCCATTCTTTATGTATATTTGGTAGTGGAACTATTATGGAAGGAATAGAATCATTTATTCAACTATCGTGTTTGACTCTCATCAAGTTAACACTATTTATAGATATTACTTATACTCCTTCACAATATCACATTTTCTTTATAAATGTTATTCATGTTCATTCACAATAATACCTTTTCACTTTATTTGAATAAAACCTTTTCACCTTATTTGAATAACACCACTTCACATGTTATTTGAGTAACATCCCTTCATATTATTTAAATAAAACCACTTCATGCTATTTGAATAGTACATCTTCATGTTATTTGAATAACATATCTTCACATTATTTGAACACATCTTTCATAATACATCTTCACATGAGTCATATTATATATTTAATTATTAAATATTCTTACATTATCCCACTTGACTCATGTGAATTAACAATACATCAAGTTAACACTATTTATAGATATTACTTATACTCCTTCACAATATCACATTTTCTTTATAAATGTTATTCATGCTCATTCACAATAATACCTTTTCACTTTATTTGAATAAAACCTTTTCACCTTATTTGAATAACACCACTTCACATGTTATTTGAGTAACATCCCTTCATATTATTTAAATAAAACCACTTCATGCTATTTGAATAGTACATCTTCATGTTATTTGAATAACATATCTTCACATTATTTGAACACATCTTTCATAATACATCTTCACATGAGTCATATTATATATTTAATTATTAAATATTCTTACATTATCCCACTTGACTCATATGAATTAACAATACATCAATTATAATGCGCATTAAGGAACCTTACATGCATTGGATCCATCATTTATAATAATTAAAAATATAAGAAAATAAGAGTTATAACAAATACATAATTATAAGTTGAGAAATGCTTAACAGGTTCAACAATAGTGCCAGTATTAATAACATAATTTGTTCTCATTATCACTAATTGCATGAATACATAAGTAGAAAACAAAAAAAATCATTAACATTACATAAATGAGCTCAGTGCATCACATACCTCAATAAAACATCATAATTCATTAACACTCATACACTACAAGAAAATTAGAGTTTTACGACACAAAAATTGCGACAGTTACTTGATAACTGTCGTAACTCTAATATAGAGACGCGTTTCACGACAGTATACACCTACCGTCCTTATATTTTTAAAAAATTATTAAATATTACGACGGTTATCATTAAGCCGTCCTACAGATAAGTTCATGACTGTCTAAATTTCCGCCCTAAATTTTATGTGCCGACGGTAGAACAACTGTTGCCCCTTAAACCCAGTAATACAATCTATAACCAATGGCGGATCTAAATAAATCTATGTATTTTAAATAAATAAATTACTAAAATCATTTATAAAATATAATTATAGTAATAAATTAAACTTAAAATACATAAAAATGAAAATATTATATATACTCAAAATAAAACTTTAATTTTAAAAACAATTTTTATAATAAAAATTAAATTCAAGATATTATATCCAAAATTAAAGTATTAAAATTAAACTATATATCAAAATTTTAAAAACAATTTTTATAATAAATATTAAATATAAAATTAAACTATATATACTCATAATCATAATATTATAAATTATCACATAAACAAAATAATTCAATCAAAATAGAGAAAAAAAATTTATTAAAATAAAATTGTATTATGACTGGGAAGACGTACCGTCGTTAGTTCAGAATTGTGAAAATTTCATCAGCGACGGTGAAATCCAACCGTCGTCCTCAAAATTTCATCTTCCCGCAAATTCTTTTCACGTATTTTTCATTCTTTTTAAGAATTTGCCGCTCGCGTTCTTGGAGAAAGAGGAAAACTGACCTTTTTCTCAACCGTGACGCTGTCATTGCGAATTACCGTCAAAGCCACCACCGTCAATTCGAATCTTTACAGGTTTGTCTTCTCAAACCCTGAATCATATCCTGGTTTGGATTTTACTCTGAATTTTGTATTTAATTGGTTTGGATTTTAAGCATCATGTGTTAAATTTCTCTGTTTGAGAGTTAAATTTGTGTAAGAAGGACGTGTCGGATCGAGTTTCTCGATGCTGAAGGGTTGCGGTAGCAAATTCTAGTATAGGACCTTTATTTGAAATCTTGTGTGCTGTTAATTCAATGGTTTTGTCCTGAGTTGATGTCAGGATCGATTTTGTTTTCGGTAATCATGTCTAGCTGCGGCGGTTGCTTTCTCTATTGTGCTTGTTGTTTGATTGAGTCATTTCCTTGTTTAGGAGTTTAAACTATATTTTTGATACATTGCTTATATTTCAAAACAGGCTTCATAATATACTTGCAATTTAAATCGAAATATTGTTATTTTAGACTAGATCTTCTATAGAATTTTTTTGAGAAAGATATAATTGTTCATAGTAGGCCAAATTAGTGTTGAGATAGAAAAATGCTAAAGTGAGAATCACTGAATTCAACTACATTGTAGTGTTGAAATAACGCCTTCCTTGGTTATCCCAAACTCCCTGTATATTTTTCACCCTGGAGCATTAAGTAGTAAGCTCCACAAAACAAAATACTGCCAATTCATGTGGTGTGATATTGAGCCTGATGAAAAACAAATGGATCTGGATTCAGCAGTTGCAGATGATGATAATGAACTTTCTGCAGAGAATTTTGGTAGAAAAGAGGTTATTGGCTCTGGTTCATTAGCTCACCCAGATTTACCAATTCCTGTAAAAGAGAACGAAGATCTGAAAACATGTGATTCTAATCTTGAAAGAAAGAAGTCTGTAGTTGCTGCGAAGTTAAAGAAATCTGTAGTTGCTGCGAAGTTGGATGTGGGCAATGCTAATCCATCCCCATTTGCTTGTGGATCTGATGTGAATGTAAAACTGGACTTTGATTTAAATGAGGGATACCCTGTTGAGGGTGTAGGCTAGTGTGATATTGTTAGACCAGAAGAACCTATCAGTTCATCTGCAGTTCATGCTCCTTGCCCTTTGCCTTTTCCGATTACGTCCCTCTCTGGGGCCTTCCATGCTTCAATTATAGTGGCTTCTGCTGCCAAAGGACCGGTTGTTACGCCAGAAAATCCATTGCGAAGTAAGGGGGAACTTGGATGGAAAGGGTCAGCTGCTACAAGTGCATTCCGGCCAGCTGAACCTAGGAAAAATACTGAGATGCCATCAAATATTGTTGATATTCCATCGGTTGACGCCACTTCAGTCAAACCAGACCGCGCTCCCTTAGATTTTGATTTAAATGTGGCAGATGAAATCATTTTTGAGGACGTTGCTTATCGGGGTTCCTTAGAGTCCGGTGCTCATGACCGCAGCTATGTGGGATTTGATCTTGATCTAAACAGGTTGGACGAGACTCCTGAAATTGGATCTTTCTCTATGGTTAAAATGGATATTCCTTTACCAAGTAAACAACCTTCATTGTCCAGTGGTTATCTAATGGTGGAAGTGTCTCAAGAGACTTCGATTTAAATAATGGGCCAGGCCTTGATGAAGTTAGCACTGAAGTCCCCACTCGTACTCTGCAGATGAAAAGTACTATCCCATTTTCTAGTTCTGTTCATGGCACCAGAACAAATAACACAGAATTTGGGAATTATTCTTCATGGTTTCCTCCCGGCAATTCGTATTCTGCAATTACTGATAGATTCTGTTACAAACATCCCTCATGGCAATAGGATGATGGCTCTTCAAAGCAATTTATTTAAGAAATCAGCTTCAGAGCATGTATTGGCAGAGACAAGGCCCGATGAAAGGAATTGTTTCTAGCTGCAATATAAGCCTGCACCAACTTTTGGACAGTGTGATGGTTAGAAACTTTGTTGCTCGATACCCTCTTTCTTCCATGTGCCTTGGCGTAGTGAAAAGCATACTCAACCACCCTTGTACTTGCTTGGCGTGTAATAATTTTGATACTTTCTACTACACCCCTCACAACCTATAATCCAAAAATGCTAAGCAAATTATATTAATCATGATTTGGATAATGGTATATGACATGTATTGCTGTGAAATGAAATTTACCTGATGTTCAAGTCCACTATACTCGCCTTCTGTATTTTCACGGATTGTGATGAGGTCAACATCATCATATCGAGTTTCGTATCCAGAAAGGCTGTAGCAAGGTCGAACATTGGCATATAGAAATAATTGACAGAGCATTACTTTTGATTCTGCATTGCAATTCAACTTCAGTAAACTACGTAGTGCTTACGTAGTGCTCTTCCCATTCTATTGGTGCTTCAGTCCCTACGTAGTGCTCTTCCCATTTTATTGGTGCTTCAGCCGCTTGGAATATCTAATTATTGCAATAGAAATAATTGACAGAGCATTACTTTTGATTCTGCATTGCAATTCAACTTCAGTAAACTACGTAGTGCTTACGTAGTGCTCTTCCCATTCTATTGGTGCTTCAGTCCCTACGTAGTGCTCTTCCCATTCTATTGGTGCTTCAGCCGCTTGAAATATCTAATTATTGCAATAGAAATAATTGACAGAGCATTACTTTTGATTCTGCATTGCAATTCAACTTCAGTAAACTACGTTCACCTGCCTGAAATATAGATTAATCATGAGAAAACAATTTCCAAAACAATCAACTTCCAAAAAGTTTCTTTTAAACATGTAGAACAACAAAGAAAAGAATTACTGGGTCGTCTTCAAATAACTTTGCCAGGCAATCGTGATTGACTTTGTTACTGAGCCTCTGCAAGGGTTACAAGTAAGCAAATATTATTAGTAATTAGCTTTATATAAATAATTTTAGAAGATGTTATACCTATGATTAAAATAGCTAACATTCATCGTACATTGCTTACTGAACTTACCAGTACAACTATTGTATATAACAATAAATCAAAAAGAACAAACACTTATGAATGTAACCTCACCACTATCTCAAATGGACACAAAAAAGAAGCAACGACTAGAATGCTTAACAAGCACGTGAATTCTAAGACAAAGCTTAAGGCATTGTTGGTATTCCAAAATTATTCAGTGTCTAGAAAGATCCATGAAGAGTCCTTTTAAATTTATAGATATTTTGGAAGAAGGTAAATTAGGGAATAGGATATGATAGAAATAATATCCTGTTAATGTAACTTATTAAATTGTTTTTGCAGATTATAATTTATTTGTTGACAATGATGTAAAAAAATAATATTAATAATTTAGTACTACATTATTTTTAAGTGCTAGCTCAATTGGCAAAAGCTTTATAAGGCTTAGAAGTCAGTGGTTTTGCCAAAGGTCCGCCTGTTAATGTAACTTATTAAATTGTTTTTGCAGATTATAATTTATTTGTTGACAATGATGTAAAAAATAATTTATTAATGTACTTACATTGATATCCTGTTTAAAATTAAATGTATGTCTTGGGTTCATTTTGGTTAGTTTGTGATTATGAGACTAGAGTGTGATTTTTGTCTTTTAATGGCATCTGATTCTATTGCTGTAAATATTTGTATTTAGAGTGTTTGTTTCTTTTTTATAGGATTTGCTTTGAACTTTATTCTTGTATCTATCTATGTCTATTTTTTGAAGAAATGGATAAGTCATGGATTACTAAGCCACAGTCATCGATTGCATATCAGCAAGGGATAAAAGAATTTATTGATTTTGCATTTAAAGGTGCAAAAGAAAATGACGTAGTAATATGCCCTTGCAAACACTGCGGTTTCAAAAAATCAAAGAGTATGAGTGACATGTTCGACCACTTAATGTGGTCACCATTTCCGCAGGGATACACCATGTGGATTCATCATGGAGAGTCCTTTGTTGTACCTAGTACTATCTCCCCTAGTACTACTCAAAATATGGTTGAAGATACTATCATTTTCGAAGATCCTATTCATAACATGATCAATGATGCATTTGGAGTTGATATGAATCATGCTAATGAAATACCATCCACGTCAAATTTAGAGATTGGCCAAGAAGATTATGTGATGCTAAGTGCAACTCAGGAAAGAAACGAAGCCAAAGAGTACTATGAATTGACTAGAGAAGGAGAACAACCTTTGTATGAAGGGTGTAGACAATATTCAAGACTATCGTTTTTGGTTAAGTTGTACCATATAAAGTGTTTATGTGGATTGAGTGAGAAGGCAATGACAATGATTTTAGAGTTAATTAAAGATGCATTTGAATATGCAAACATTCCAGGTTCGTTCCATGAAGCCAAGAAATCAATCACAAAACTTGGTTTGAATTATGTAAAGATACCTGCATGTCCAAACGGTTGTATGCTTTATTGGGGAGAAGATGAAGAAAGGGAGACTTGCAAAAATTGCAACACGTCAAAATGGAAAACAAATGAAGCGGTCTTTGTTAACAAGAAAAAGAAAAAAATTCCTGCCAAGGTTCTTCGTTATTTTCCATTAAAACCTCGATTACAGAGATTATTTTTGTCATCAAAGACGGCAGAGGATATGAGATGGCACGCAACAGATGCTAACAACGATGGAATGTTGAGGCATCCTAGAGATTCAGAAGCTTGGAAGAAATTTGACTTGACACATACTTGGTTTTCATCAGATCCGCGAAATGTGCGTCTTGCATTGGCTAGTGATGGTTTTAATCCTTTTGGTGTGATGAGTACAAACAATAGTATTTGGCCAGTTGTTCTCATTCCATATAACACTCCTCCATGGGTTTGCATGAAACAAACATCATTTATAATGTCGATGATAATTCCTAGAAAAGAAGCACCAGGAAATAATATTGATGTCTACTTACAACCCTTAGTCAAAGAGCTGAAAGAGTTATGGGAAAATGGCGTGGATACATACGATTCTTTCAAGAAAGAGATGTTCAAGTTGCATGCAAATTTGATGTGGACGATTAGTGACTTTCCAGGTATGGGCGCACTTTCTGGGTGGAACACATACACAGGGCTTGCTTGCCCATCGTGTAACTTTCAAACTACACCCCTTCGTCTTAAAGCTAGCCGTAAATGGTGTTTTATGGGCCATCGTCGTTTCCTTGACCGGAGACACAGGTTTAGATTGAACAAGATCCGCTTTAATGGTGAACAAGAAATACGGAGTCCACCGAGAACATTATCTGGACATGAAGTTTTTGAACAGGTTAAAGATATTGAAGTCATCTTTGGTAAAAAGTCAGTGAAAGAAAAATCACTAAAAAGAACATTTGAGGGACAACCTATAGAAGGTGATAGTACACAGTGTGATCCTACACTAGGTCATCCTCAACAATGGAGAAAAAAGAGCATATTTTTTGAACTTCCGTATTGGAAGGATAATCTTCTGCGCCATAATCTTGATCCAATGCATATTGAGAAAAATGTGTGTGATAATGTCCTATTTACTTTACTAAATGATAGGCAAAAAAGTAAAGACAATTCTAAAGCTAGAGATGACCTTCAAAACATGGGTATAAGACCTGATCTTTGGCCTGATGAAAATGGTAGAATTTCTCCGGCAGCCTTTACTTTAATGGGTAAAGATAAAAGGAATTTTTTAACAACTTTAAGGAATATTAGGGTGCCTGATGGTTATTCGAGCAACATTTCTAGATGCATTGATTTAGTAAATCTCAAGGTGAATGGAATGATGAAGAGTCATGATTGTCATATATTAATGGAACAACTCCTACCATTAGCCATTCGCAACACATTACCTCATGAGATTTCAGCAGTTTTGATTGAGTTGTGCTCATTCTTTAGACAATTATGTGCCAAGGTATTGAAAATTGAAGAATTGGAAAAATTGCAAAACCAAATTGTCCTTACTTTATGCCACATGGAAATGTTATTTCCTCCCTCGTTCTTCACGGTTATGGTTCACTTGGTTGTTCACCTTGTTGAAGAAGTTAAACTTGGAGGTCCTGTTCATTATCGATGGATGTATCCTGTTGAAAGGTAAACTATGTGATTTTATTTTATTGTTACTAACTAATAAAGTAGAAAGATTTTTTTAACCGATAGTTGATGACGAGAAAACGCATCGGTTATATCGCTAGATTTCATTGACTTTTACCGCGCATTCACCGTTTTAACGCTCGATTCCTCGAGTTTTTCATACTATTTTGCAGGTACATCGATATGTGAGGCCAAATCAAGAATTAAGAAGAAAATAACAAAGAAACCACAAGAAATGAAGCAAGACAGAAGCCTGCATAAAACTCTGCATAATTTGTTACGACCACGGTCGTTACAAGGGTGTCACGACCGTGACACCTTACTTTGGGACCTCACGACCGTGAGGAAGTAGTCACGACCGTGACACTTGAAAACATAAGACAACAAGCGTGAAGACCTTGTCACGCCCGTGACAAGGATATAACTTGATTCTTTTGACTCAGACTACGTCAAAGCCACCAGTGAAGCCACTCCTCCTAGTAATTCTCACGTGAGGGAGACTTCTCCCACTTTCTGCTGCCACTTTCCAACATTTTCTCAACCACTTCAGCAAAGCCCAAGAAGCAAAAGACCCAGGACCAGCCCATTGGAAGCTCTATAAATAGGACCAGCTCAGGAGGATTCAGGGGAGAGACTTCAGTATCCAATTTTCCTGCGGAAGCTCTGCCGAATTACCTTACCATCAGATTTATTATTCCAGCATTTTATTTTCTGCCTTATTTTATTTGTATCCAAACCAACCGTGTAACAATTTCCAACATTAGGGAATTGTTATACCTTTATTTGTTTCCAGCCTTCAGCATTTCGTTTTAATTTTTATTTCCGCCTACTCCAAGCCTTCCGGTCTGTGGAAGAAGGAGTCTACTCAGATATTTGTTAATCAGGTTCTTCAGTTATTGCAATTTACTTTATTTATAATGTCTATTTATTTTCCTGCCATTAGTAAGTTAATAATTAACTCTGAGTCTGATTTAACCTCGATGAGTAGCTAAATACCTTAGGGCGGTATGTAGTTATAACTAACTTAACCGGTAAAATATAACCATGGGCTAAAATAATTAATCGCTTAACATTCTGGCTGATACTTTTTAATTAAATTCGACCTTTTCATTACGAGAGTAAGAAAAGGGTATTAGGTTGGGTCAAGACCACGAGAGTGTGAGATTTTAACCAGATAGCTAAAGTTAGGCATTTAAATTAAATACAGCGAGAGCGCTTTAAGATAAATTAGAATTATTTAGTTTCCAAAAATTATCTCTAAACACTTATGGGCTAGCGAGAG